AAAATAGTATAAAAAGTTAATTTAGATTATTTTTTATTTAATATAAAAAAATTATAAAGATTGGTTAAAATTTGAATAATTTTTATATTGAGATACAAATCTTTTTGCACTGATTCATAAAAATTATATCTTATAAATAATATTTTTCTTCAGATTCAAGCTTTATTTGATTAATTAAAAGTACATTACTTTTAAAATAAGCATGACTTGTTATATTATTAAATAAAGATTTTAATATATTTTGAATAAATAATTTCAAAAATTGATATTTGCTTTTTGAATAATTTGATTACTAAGTTTTTTAACATTCTATTATCTTTTATTATTTTTTCTGGCTCAATATTTTCATAATTATATATTAATAAATTGAAATTTATTCTGATATTAAATAAAGTAATCCAATTTATTTTTATTAAAAAATCACTAATATATAATCTTTTCTCTTTTCTTTTTTATATAAAGGCTATTCTTTTTGTAATTTGCAATCTTTATATTACTATTATTTGAATAAAAAATGGATTTATTTCATAATTTTTGTTTTTAAAAATTGAACCAAGTATTCTACTTCATTTGCTATAAATTCTAAAGTTATTTATAATATTTAACAACTCATGTGCATTATGATAAATATCTTTTTGATATATATTATATTTCTAACTTAATTTTTTTAATCATCTTTCAACTGTCTTGTAACTAATTCCTTTTTATACACTATCAACTCTCACAATTGGTAAAATCTCATTATTGATGTTATATCAAATTTGTGATCTCTTAAATACATGTATATAATGATTTGAGCTGTAATATTTTCATGTTGAAGAAAACACTTGGTTTTTGGATGCTAATCATGATGAGAAAGTAAAAATTGCTTTTGTATCTATTGTTTTGCCCATTCTCTAATACAATGGACTTTATATTGGCCCATTCTAATCCGTTGCAACTAATTCACTGACTTGTATACACAAATTGTTGATATATACTTATCGATATGATTTGTTTTATTTGTGTCAGAGTAGACACATCTTCTATTTCAATAACTCAGCATTATGTCTGATCTTTTGAAACTAAAAAAACTTGTAATTTTTGCTGATTCCTTTGCTGCATCACGATTTTGTTGTTTGTGTCATCTTTTTGTTCAGGCAGAAAGAGCATGATTGTAAACAGGTTGGCCATTATTAATAACTTCTTTGCTCGTTTTATTCCACCAGGATTTAGTATTTTTTCTGTATCAAGTGAAGGATCTTCATTATCACTACTTTCTATTTCACTCATACTACATTCAATTTGTGTTAGGAAATTATCTTCTGAAATCTCTGATTCATCTGAACCCAGTTTGGTATCAATGATCAATTATTTATAATATGTTGGTTTTTTATTTCTATTAAGTTTGATAAGATGTATATGTTGTTTTTTGTGTCTTCTCATTTTTGTTATTGTAGCAAAGAAATGGATGGAAGACTGTATTAATCACGATATATGTGTTAGTGGTAACAAATTTTTTTGAACAATAAACATTACCGTTACCTTGCATGATGTATTCCGTAAATTTTTTGATTAAATTAGCTAGTCCAGCAAGTCTGAAATCAGCACTATTCGATATTATTCATCAGATTATCAAGCACAAGCTACATTCTCTTGCTTGCTCGCATTGTTGAGCATCTACATGTATTACATGTATTTCAGATCCAGTACGACATTTCAACAACATATTTCCGACAATCTACGAAATGTATCCATGAACTACTGGTGCAGACTTGTGGCACCACATGGTTACGTCAAAATGCCACAACTAACGTATGCCATAACAACTAATACATGTATATGACGTATGTTCATATAAACGATGCATAGCCATAACAAACGACGTGGATATAACTCTGATGTTAGGTGTGATATGGAATGTAATACGGACATAATTTTGATTTCGAGAATTTTGATTTAGAGAATGATTAATTAAAATAATAAATTGGGCGAACCAAAATGGTTTTTTAAAATGAACAAAATTGTGAAAAATTGAATGAATCAATAAATAAATCTAATGCATGTATGTAATTGTGTTAATTGTATTGAAAATCTAATTTTTAGATATCTTGAATATTAGTGTTGAAAATAGTGTTAATATGGACTCGACTTGTTGATGTTTTAAATATCGAATTAGAAAATTAATAAATCAATTATTTTCCTTATTGTTTTTTAGAATTTAAAATATGTAATGTAATAAAATCTATTATATATCAATTTTACAACCGACATATGTCATTGTGTCATTGTTACGGTAATGTGTCGTTGTTATAGCATACGTTAGTTGTGGTTTTTTGACGGTATGACACCATTATAAGTCTGCACCTGTAACCCGAATACATGAAATCCCCGAATGCATGGAATGCTAAAATTATCGGGATTTCATGCAGTCGGGACGCCGTTCGTTTGTGATTTTTTCGTTTGTTGAACTTATGAATTGTCGGGCTTTGTTTGTCTGGCTGTTGAATATTTCACAAATAGAAATTAAAAGTTACCGAGATCATAATGCAGATCGTGATCAGCCGAGTTAAAAAATCGTGTGATAATGCAGGTCAGAATTAAGTATATTGAGAAAATACGTGAAAGTGCATTTTTGCAATAAACTGGAGGGTAGACAAATCGTGCCAAATATTTATCAATCAATTAAAAGAAACGAGCTTTAACAATATTTTCAAAACGTAATTTCTGATTGCAAATACCACACAAATTCATCTTTTTTCCTCTTCTATTTTCATAAGGTTTTTATGCCTGACTCTACTGATTCAACTACCATTTGAATGCTTTTTTTCATCTTTTTGCGTTTTTAACAGTTCGCGAAATCCGGATACCATTCAATCGTATTTGTTGCTGTAATAAATGGATTGATATATTTTCTCCTCGTCTTCTGAATTTTTAACCATCGCTTTTGAATATAGAAAACGAGTGATTTTTCAACAAGCCGAATCTACATGTACTGTACTTAAGTTTGTTCAAAATCTTTTTTGCTAGATATTTAACATCTTCAAAAGGGATTTTATGCATCGTTCGCGATATTTTTTCTCATTCATAAGAATAACATAACACTTATAGTTGGACAAAAATCCATCCTTGTTTTTACGTGGACATAGTCGAGCTCCGACCACATGTTGATTGTTTTTGATGATTGATATTATGAACTGTCGTCATATTCGTATTCTTGACAAAATTACAATTTTGAACATTTATTACAGTACCAATTCTTTGACAACTACAATATTGCGCTGTGTTCCATATACGTTTGGGAGGGAGGTATAGCAAGCAACCATAAAATTTTTTGTGTTTGCTATTATCGTTATCTTTATTGTCCCATTTGTATGCCGATACGCACAGCGTGAAATTGGGCTCTATAAATTAAGCGTAGAAAGAAGGTTCACTATTATTTACACCGATTTCTTGAAGAAGAATGCATATGATATTCTAAGAGAGATGGAATAAAAGATTGATGAAAATAACGAGTGAAAAAAGGGTTTACAATAATAAATCGAATCGGCACAAGTGGATAGGGATTTTTTTTTCTATGCATATGAGGTGATGCAATGCAAATATACTTATCTATAAAGTATCCTCTATATTAGATGTTTTAAAGTTAAGGAATTCGAATTGGAGAACATATGAAAAAGAAGAATATTAAAAATACAAAATCCCTTTTTATTTTATTATACACAAAAAATTATCACCTCATAAAGTTCATATTGTTATTTTTGGTTACTATATCATCCCAAATATGCTTCCTGAGGAGAAGACAAACCAATCACAACTTCTTCATCATGCCGCCATTGTGATATTGGGGTTTCTAATTCAAATGCTGATGTTACCATATTTTGATTTTCTTCTTTTTCTGAATCTATCTCACAAATGTGATTTTCTTTTTTTATTTTTTCTTCTTCGAAATTTATAGACCCAGAAGTTGAATACCACGACTCTTTTTTTGTTAATGAATTTGATTGTTTTCCACCCACTTCATCCATCTCCAAATCAACAAGCGTCTTTGCACTACTCGGTGGAGAATAAAGATTGCCACCGTCATTAGTTAATACCTTACTTGTCTTGCGATTCACTTCTAGGATAGAATCCAATGCACGCGATGAAGATTTTGACGAGATGGATCCGAATCTAAATTTGGACCTTAAACATTGAAGTTGAGTTTTCGAGGTGATTGTCTCTTGATCATCTTCAAATCCAGAACCTGATACTGAAGTGATGTCTTTGGAAAATGCTTGCTCTGCCTGTTTGTTTCTATTTATCGTGCGTTTTGTATGTAAGAAAGAAATTCATTCAACCGACATTTTCATGGAAGAAATTCATGTTTAGCTTACCTTGTGCTCGCTATTCCCACTACAATGCAAATACAACACGGCATAAGCAAACAATAAGTGATGAAAAGGAATTGATTAAACTCGGGTATTCGAGTGAGTATTACAACCTATTACATGTCATCATTAATTAATTAGACTAATCACAAATCATATTTGACGACGATTAAATGATTCTTCTCGAGACCAATTATATTCGGTATGAGCTTACCCGAGTAGACGCGAATATAATGCAAAAAGTGATGTAGTAAATGTATGTGGTGAAAGTTATGTACAACATTTTGCGAATCTATTACAGACATGATGATGACATCACTTAAATGCTTGGTATAATATTGTGTGCGTAACGATATCGATAGTTAAAAATCTTCCTACCTTCTGTAATCCAGTTTCCAGCTTAGTTGTACCGGTACTATTAGAATTTTCACGAGCCACTTCAATACGATACCTGAGCACGTTACATAACTCGCGACCAAAATAAAATGCTCCCATTGCACCAAATGAATACCAAAAACTGGATGTATGTAATGTAATAAATTTAAATTAGGACATTTAACCGATTGGTGCAACGTGATGCATGCTTATGTAAATCTTTTTGGCGGTGTAACCGACTATTTATCAACGATGCTGATTCGTACTTATTCATTTTTTTTCTCGAGACTTATAATGACAGAATGCAATACTATACATATACATACCTCGAAAGCACATAACAAGCACCTAAAATGGCATCAGCGATCTTCGGATCGCCGTTGTCACGGATGTATCCATCGAGAATAACTAATGGCCAAGTGGTAAGTGGTGCCGCAATAGTAATTATTAGCAGAAATCTATCTGCCATACGATAATCCGGGCGCCAGGGGCGCGTTTTAGAATTTAGATGAACACCAATTTGTAGATATGTCCCTACTGCGAACCATGCAAATCCTTTGTTGCAATGATTCACATATTGGCGTTAATTAATGCTTGATAATATTATTTAATTAATTAATGAATGATAAGTAAAACCACGTAATACCTGCTGCACCAAATAATTCAGGCTAATCAAAAAGAATGGCGTACGTATTAGTTAGTAGTTTCTTTAGATTGAGCCAATAACATTCAATAAATGAATGAACTTACGAATGCTTGCAAAACTGCACGAATAATCAAACTGAAGTTAGTAAACGAGAAATGTCACAAATTGAAAGCAAAACAATAATACATGCAATAATGCTTACATTCACGAATCAAATATGAATTAGGGAAAAGATTCATTCTTATTACAAAAATAAAAAGAGCTCGCCCTTCCGAAAAGAAAACCAATCAAATCATTAGCATGGCATGGGTATGAGCTCAAAAATATTTTACTATTATTTTCAACTTACCAATCAACCAAACCAATTCCCAGACCAAAAAAGCTTCAATTGGATTTGGTCTTATGCTTCCAGCTCCCGGTATTTTCGGAGCAATAACTTGGCATTTTAGAACTCGTAAACGATAATACAATAAACCACCGCAAGCGAATATAAGCAATAATAGCCAAATGAGAGTCACTTGATATATTATTGCGTAAATTCCGCCATTCTCGCAATTGATAGTAACCCTCCAGTCGCAATATGTTTGATTCTGAAAGACTAGAACCATATTATCGTAGTCGCTGACATCCGATAAGGGTATTGGATTATTTGAGGTTGTGGTGGTGTTCGCATTCATATCTAATGAAAGTAAATCGTTCATATTTTTTTAATTAATATTTATTTATTCTCAAACTTAGCATTTGAAGGATAAGGAATTTTATTGATTCAGTCAGATATTATGCTATAATATCGTTCTAACAGTAATTGAATCGCGTCATAAATAATAAACTTTTAAATTTTGATATCAATCAATGATGATAAGACCAATGGGGAGAAAGAAGGAAGGAAGGAAAGGTGTGAAGACGAAATGTGAAAGGTTGAATGATGATGGTGATATTGATGATGATGATGATGATGATGATTGTGAGTATGAATGCGAAGAGTGTGAGTTTGGTTTCGAAATTTCTTTTTCTTTTTAGCTCTTTAGTCTTGCGTGCGCGAAGAAAGCACGTGGACAATGTAAAAAATTAAGGAAAGAAAGGGAAAGAACAATAATAAAGGGTGATCGAAAAAGAATAAGTATAAATATCGAGGCCTGTATACCCTTTATATCGTATATTTGTATTCTGTATGCGGAAAGTATCACGAATTATTTTATTGAACATTGCATAACTATTTTATTGATCATTCTTGAACTACATATTCTATTGCATTTACTATCTTAACAATAATAATGGTTAAATATAGAAGAATAGCATGTTTTTATCTCAATTTAAAATTTTCAGAAGGCATTCCTTTATTCATTAATTGAATAAGGTTAAAAAAGAACTGAAAAGAGAATTGAATGATAGTAAGTACATCATCAATCCCTTTAAACGATCCAAGAACAATTTAAGGATTTTTACATGTACGAACATGTTGTGTGGATTCCAGGGTTTATGAGAGCACAAGTAAAAAAGTTTATTCTTAATACATGTACAGTAAAATTTTTGTTGTCTTCGATTGCTTTAGCATTTTTATTTGCATTTACGTATTCAATGTTCTCTTGAGAAAGGGTCGTGTTTGACAAAAAACACCTTACACGTACGTTTATAAAAGAGTTATATGTATATTGTAAATTTGTGTAAATACCCAAGAAAATATTTTTACGATTCATAAATTTACCGAAAAATTTAATAGTTATGTTAGTTTACAGGGTATTTTTGGTTTTTTTTTTTGACATTTCACAATATTTTTGGAACATTCCTCTTTTGATAAAAATAGAATTCAAATACAAAAATTAAACTACACACGTAATTCACCAAAATCATCAGAACCTTCCATCTACGTGATTTATTTCATCGCTTTTTTTTTAAAAGTTCATACCATACCAAAGTTATATCGATAAATTAAAAATTAAATCATTAACCAATCCGTCAAAGAATTATGACAAGGTTTATTTGTTTTGATTGGTATTAATTGATGCAAACAATGTTTTTCCGAAGTACATAACATCTAACCCTAAAAATCTTCAGACGCCATCGATATAATGATAACGACCATTTATTTATTCCGACTATGAGCATATTTTTGAAAGAAAAAGCTGGATTCCGATAACGATAATAACAAAAATCATGCATGTAAAATGTATATACCGTATATCGATACCTAACATTTTCTATCATTCGTTAGTGGGGTCAACTCGCAAAGATAGTTGTAAAAAAAATATTTCAAAAAAGGAAACGTAAACTAATATAATACATAGTAATAATAAATAAATAAAAACGTTCTTCCGTTTTATGCTAATATAAATAAAATAATCTAATGAAAAAAAATCTTCGTCAATATAGAAAACCATTAACACACCAATCATCCGTGGTTGAGAAAGGACAAAGAACAATTCTCCAAACAATCACAAGAACAAAAAACTTACTAGTTTATTTATCGACAATATTTACGTTACCATCAACTTCATTTCCACCTTTATTTCCCTTTTCTCCTTTTCCCTCGTTCATATCCTCGGTTGTAGTATTATCATTATAATTGGACCATACATATGGAGTGGCTCTTCGTTTCGGCATGATACGTTTACGTTTATATGGAACGTCACCGACTGTATTTGTAGGACTAGCAATAATAGTGCTTTCTTTTTCATCAAAAGAAACTCTGCGTTCCGACATTTTTTTTTTAATATGAGGAAGCAACGGAGAACGACGACGACTAATAATTGAAAATTCGGCAATCCTTTTTATTTCCTTCTCAACTTTCCCCTCAAACACCATAAATAGCTATCAATCAGTTATGCAACATTATATCATGATGCGCAGATATCTTTTATTTTAATTTTGGGGTTAAAGTCACGCGGGTATGTGTGATGATAAATATATACAGAACAAAAAAAACAATCGGGTATATAAAATACGGAAATGTTAATATGTACAATAAGCCCTTGTATCAGCTGATTTCACTCCTCTATCCTGTCTAAATATAACTTTCCCAAAAAATCAGCTGATAATAAATAATCTATTCTCCTAGGGTTGGGGTATATACGAAGTCATTCTTCTCCGTGTGGTCGATGACTTATTGACGTGATTTTTTGCATCGCCTTCGCTATTGCGTCGGCGAATTTGTATTTTTTCAAGGGAGTGTGCCATCATACGTACCGCTTTCAATAAAGTACTATCTCGTTTGTTGCTTTTGTTACCATTTTCATCATCTTCATCGCTGCTGTTTCGATTATGTTCCGTTCTACTTTCACTACTACTTCCACTACGAAAACGATTATGTCCCGCACTACTTCCACTGCGAAAACGATTATGTCCTGCGCTACTTCCACTACGACTATGTCTCGTATCCTTACTATTCATCCCAACCTTAATTAGATGATGCAGCGTCTTTGCCATATCTTTATATCCCAACTCCGTGGCCATTTTCAACGCTATCTGGTTACCACAAGCCGGGTCAGCACCAGCATCCAATAATAATTGCGTCAATTCCCAATTATAATTGGTGACTGTTAGTGCCAATGGACGTCCATCGTCAGCATTTGGATCTGCACCATGATTTAAAAAAAGTTTAACAATCTCGAGTCTCGCGTCGTTCTTTTCTTGTTCTTTATGACAGGCGAAGAAACATTGCAACGAAAATTCGAGAAAACTAGTGGATCCAAATGCACCTGGATCGTTTGGATATGATGATGGTGAAATATTAATTAATGCCCCGTTAATTATTAACGTTTCGACAGCTTTTACATCTGCCTTCTCGACGCATATTCGAAGGTAGAGCGGATTGCGTTTTTGAACATCGTTAAGACCTCGCGTGAAAGCCCACGCTATTCCATTCGTGTATTGCCGATCTACACTTTCATCCAATACATCTAGCGTGTGTTGCATGTGTAGAGAAAGTGCATCGGCTGCGTCGAATCTTTCATGAAGTACAATACTAAATGCTAAATCCGTTTCGCTGAAATAATTTTTTGATGCCAAAATTTGATTGTAGAATTCAAAAGAATGTTGACGCGCGAAAATCAACACCGAGAAATAATCTTTTGTCATTCGTTTCTCAACTTCATTTCCTCCTTCAGTCAACTCGAAATCACGTGTTGAGTGATTTTGAATATAAACGTCAAGTCTCATTCCCTTCTTGATCAGAAATGGGATTAATTTTTTGCTGTCCGTATGTGCATACGCTGCATCAACTAATCGCATAACGTGGCCTCCTCTAGAAGAGCAAAGTGCTCGTTTTCCAAGTATCTGAAGATTAACAATCTCAACCAAAATGTTGATTGGCGTTTTTGACTCGATTGCAAGACAGAGGTCAGAGTATGTTGGCATGAATGCCTCTGGAAGTTTTGGGTTAAGCCATTGGCGAAGCCAACGCCGTTTAAATGATTTTGAAAAGGTAACAATTAGGTGGAATAGTCGACACACCGGCGCGGCGGTACATGGCTTCGGAAGATAAATAAATATTGATTCCAAGATTTCCGGGGCTAATTTTTGCAGTGACATTGATGGAGAGGGTGACAATACAAGAGATTTTGTTGAACTGGGTGATACGGATGATGTAGAGGATAGTCTATTTAATGCTCTAGTATATTCAATATCGCCGTCATCCGGTTCAATTAAATATACACTAGTTTCTCTTGACTTTTCATACATCCTGTTGTTGTTTTTATTCTTTATTGTGTCAGAAATCATTTTTAATTCTGGCGATTTGATATTGCAATATTTGAAAAAAGATAAAAAATAATCAGAAACGTAATTTTACAAAAAACATAACTATACAGGTTATAGACTTGACTTTTTATATATAGTTGTTTTTATTTTTATTTATATTGGTAAGCTATTAATAGATTGTATTACTAACGCTAATTTTTATTTGTGTGGCGAAAAAGTGTGATGAAACGGGACTCGCCGAAAATAGATAGATCATCGGTTGAATATGGGAAAAATTTCTTTCATTCATAGTGTGGATTTCTCTTTCATATTTTATATCACTGTATTAAGTGACTATGCCATTTAAGCATTTAAGTAATAATAGTAAACTACGTAACGAAATATGTATCGGTATGCATCTATTAATAATTAAAATGGGACAAAGATTAAATCACGTGTTAAACTTTTTCGTCGTTTAAAAACACAAATTAGGTTGATACTACGTAATAGTTTCGCTCGAAGCACTAATCAAAAATAATTTCATAAATATTCTATGACATAAATAACGTATAATTCATTTTGATTCTTGACTTTTATGCATGATATTTTCTATTATATTATCAGAATGATATATATAATAAATTTTTTAATTCCATGCGTTTCGTTGTCGATGATAAAACGATGATATTTTTGACGAAGCGCAGATTTTTAAGTTAATATACATTTCTTTGATACAAAACGCGCGCGGTTACTTAATTTTGGGTGGTGCTTATTTCGGCAAAATCAATAATTGCTAATTTCCCGTGAAATTATGAACTTTCTTCATAATATGTAGAGTTTATTCGACTAATTTGTTACCTCTTGTGATTTATATAAAGGGGTAATGTACATTTATTATAGATACATTGTTTCGGGCAGACAGTTGCTCATGTTTTGTAAAGAAATAGAATGGTGTTAGTTGTATATCAAGGAAGGATGGGGTATTTAAATATTAGTATAAATCTGTGTTAACAAACAAATTTGGAGTAGCTCTTGTAATTTTTAACACAAGAGTTTGCAAGAGTAAATTCTAATTATAAACGAGGTTTTTAATTCGTGATAGCATCTTATATTAATGTAATTTAATATAATTTCAGCAGATTGCCCTAGGTTTCGACAACCATTCCTAACTTAAGAAATTCAGTTTGTTCATTTATGAATACAGTCAAACGAGACAATCAATCGAATCCTAATAAACCGAAATTGATTCCAGAACAATTATAGTGGTAAATCTCTCTCAATAAACCAAATTTTTTGATCACAGCAATCCTTATACAAAGTTTCCTCGATCACCATGGCTGAGATTTTATAATAATGCAACGGACCCATCTTTTATCATAACAACACGAAAAGTAGTATTAATATTCCTGAGTAGGACATCGCCTCTAGCATTATTTTAATCCTAACGGCTCATTGATTAGCATTCTTTTCAAATTTTCTATTTCTAAATATCTTTTTGTAATTCTGACGTGGCGCTAAAGATTCTCATTTCTTTATTGTTTTTGAGATAATGGATATACACATCCTTACAATATATTCCCGGAAATAACAAAAATGAAAGTATCATTTTGAAATCCAATATCTCAAAATCCAATGATCCAATTCAAATGAATTTGGCAAATTCAATGGAGTATTTTCATTTGAATTGGATCGTTGGATTTTGAGATATTGGATTTCAAAATGATACTTTCATTTTTGTTATTTCCGGGAATATATTGTAGGGATGTGTATGAGGATAAAAGATGGAGAAGTTTAAACTATGTTCAAAGCATTGATATTTTTAATTAGAATTTAAACAATAATTATTATGATAGAGCAAATATATCATCAATTCTTTTGATTCGTGGTTCCATAATAATTTTGATTTTTTTTATCCCAAAGAAGATACCCCTTCTTTGGGGGAGTATTATGTGATTTTTATTGGGTTTTCACATTCATCGATTATGTAAATCTTCAACAAAGATTTATTGGTGACGTTTTCAGGGATATTTGACGATATAAATCCTTAATCGATTATCTTGAGAAAGTAATCGTGATAACTTTTTTTAGTTATCGGTCCGAAGACTTATCAGACCTAAATGAGAGTCTGATGAATCAAACAGTGATCATCGTACTGCTTTGGTTATTTCGGCACGGATAATTTTTATTCTAAATAACCACTCCGGCCATGAGGCTAGATATCATATAATTGGTCCGGAGAGTCCTCATATCATTTGATGGAATGAATCAAACCATCGTATTGCTTTGGTTATTTCGGCATAAAAGATTTTTGGTTATAGAGGTATACATAACCATTGATTCTTAAATAATCGTCTTTTTCTAAAAAAACCCAATATTATTTTTTGGATCGCAAATTTTGAACTAATATCCTCGTGGTACGATTTGAATATCATTGAATTGATAATTAATAAGTTCCAATATCTAAAACCCGAATGACGAAACCATTCATTAGTAAATCGTAAGAATAAATACCTAAAGATGAAGCAATCATGTCATGTACATGCGTACTATAGCATTTGATAAAGGAGAGAACATACGGTGATGTCCAATATCCCGATAACTAAATCCCGCTAACTAAAATCTCCGACAATTCATAAACCCGACAAATGAAATCCCAAACTAACGACATCCCAAACATTGTATTTTATTTGCTGCAAAAATATACCACCTTTTTTTAGATTGAATGAATCGGATCCCGGGTGGTTTATGCGGCGACTACGTTACAAATTTCAGCTTTATAAAACGTGAATTAATTACGTAATGATACGCCTTTATATGTACTTAATTTCTCTCATATTACATGTAAGAACAAAATACACTACATGCATGGGTCCCGTAACTGTACAACGACAACGATTATCGTTATCATTTAACCAATTTACTCATTTTATTCCACTGAACTCAAAGATGGAATCAAATCCTCATGATTGTAGTGGATGTTGGCGTTGTCAAGAAGATAATTATTGCTGCGATGAGTGTTTAGTTCACAATACTCATGATTGTAGGAAATGTACTAGAGATAGAAATGTCATGATGTTCTTCTAAGATTTATGTTCTCAAAGATTTATCTTTTGGGATGACAAGTTATTCTGTATCCTGTAGTATGGCTTGAGAGCTATTGGTTCTTCAGTTTCTGTATTAATTTCGTATTGAATAATTGTAATATTTTCTGGTTTTTCATCAAATAAATCTTGAAATTCTTCTAATAAGATTGTCAAAGAAATAAATGCTGCATTGACTGTTTCAAATATCACAAAAGAATTTATAACGATGAATTGTCTAGCGGAGATAATGATATCGACAATCTCATAAAAGAATGCAACAAAATTAATAAAAATATATAATGATGATCATGGTTACATTCCCAAATGGAAAATAAATTTATGCGACGGAGAAAAATAAAAGTTGTGTTGAAATCATTACATAATTCAAAGCAAATTACTCAAGAGTTTATACACGAGGTAAAAAAATAAACATTTTCTAAAGTGAAAGTTGCTTTTGTTTTCTAATGCAATCAAATTTTTAAAAAAATACATGTAGATTCAAACGGGGCTTAAATGCTATGACTACGGATACTTGATATCATATTATGGATTGACTAAAAACCCAGCTACAAACGATTACTTGATAGTAATCTTCACAAATCTAAAGTGAACTTAAAAATATTCATCATTATTATGTACTGATTTGTCAAAAGAAATACTGCGATGAGTGTTCAGTTCACAATACTCATGGTTGTAGTAAATGTACTAAATGTCAAGAAAATAAGTTCTGCGATTACTGTTTTAAATATCACAAACGAATTTATAATGATGAATCGTCCAACGGAGATAAATATATCGACAATCTAATAAAAGAATCCAACAAAATTATTAAAAAAGAGAATGGATTCCTTATGAAAGATTTACCAACGTAAGATATCTTACAAAAGGTTTTGGATTAATTTATAAAGCAGCCTGATTGGATGGACCATTAAATTATAAATGGTGATCATGCAGAAAATAAATTTGAGCGAGAATTTCAACGCAACTTTAACAAAGTTGTGTTGAAATCATTACAAAATTCACTGCAAATTACTTCAGAGTTTATAAACGAGGTAAAGAATGAACTTTTTTTAAGCGAAGTTGCTTTTTATTTTTCGATGCATCAAATTTTTCAAAACTAGATTCAGACTGCTCTTAAATGCAGTTATAATAGCTATATTAAGTATTATGGAATAACTAAAAACTCAGCTACAAATGAATGCTTATCGTTATGCAAAAGATGGTGATCTCCGTAAATATATTTAATTCCGAATACGAAAAATTGACTTGGCGACAAAATTAAATCGCTTAACTGATATAATCAAAGAGCTCACGCACAGCAGTTTGTACATCGTGACTTTCATCCTGGAAATATATTATTATGGGGTGCTAATCCTGAAATTGCTGATTTTGGACTTAGCATTTCAACAAACATAGAAAAATCTAACCAAGAAATTTGTGGAGTGCTTCCTTATATGAGTCCAAAGGTACTGAATGAAATGTTATACACCCAAGCAGCAGATGTTTATAGCTTTGGAATGGTTGCGTACGAGATTGTAGCAGGTGAACGACCTTTTGGTGGACGGAGTCATATATACAGTACCCACAGAAAGTATCGACCGATGCAAAATTAAAAATAAAAATTTAGATCATTTTTCAATTTATTTGATTAGCGTCAATTTATACACCAAATAGAAAATAAAATTTATTTAATACTTAATTGGCCCTTCACCTGACTCTAATACTGCATTAATTCTTCGTGGCATTGATGCAGTAACCCGTTCTAAATGGTCACATCAAGTTTTTCCCACTCCATCAAATGTTCTCTATTGGATTCAGGTCTGGGCTAATTAATAATCACGATTTTATTTTCCCTTGATTTTTCCCGCAGCATGTATCGGCGCATTGTCATGTTGAAAGATTGCGCAACTTCCAGTTAATTCCATAATTGCGTTCTGGAATAGAAGTAATTGAGTTTTT